CTAAAGGTGTCAAATAGATTTATAACCTGCAATAAATCATAAGGGTATTTTATTTTTACTAATTTGATTCCATATCCATTGTACCCGCAAGAGTGTGGCTACATCTTACAGCTCAAGTTCTGATGACTCAGTGCTCTTGGCTCTCTGTTTTACTGCTGTGAAGGAACAAGAACTTGCAGAGGATCTATTTTGGTTCCTGAAACTAGTTTGATCATCAGTTCACAGGCTGCGTTTGCTGCTGTGTGGGAGCATTAACTTATTTCTGGATTCGTGGATCAGGGGAGAATTTGTCCATTTAATAATTACTCCTTTTGCAGTTTACGCAATAGGACCATCATCTGAACTTCAGGGCCAGTGGCCAAGTTACAGTTCACATCCACGATGGCACTGAGGAAGCTAAGATCACTTGATACACCTTCTAGCTTAGTGTTCACAAACCTTTATCTGTCGTGTGCTAAACAGTATTTGGGTATTGAAATGCTATATTATTGGTGTTTTATTTTCTGACTGGTTATAGATTTCTTGTCAATTAAGCTGTGGCTTTCTACAATAATAGAGCTCACTCTTGCTGAGGATAAGGCCTTAGGTGGAAGGAGGGTGAATCACTTGCTTTTGTCCATAGTGGAACTCCCATTTTAGTGAGGGTAGCTACTTAAATCCTAAAGGTGTCAAATAGATTTATAACCTGAAATAAATCATAAGGGTATTTCTAATATGGGAGGACTAAAGCTTTCTGTTTCTGTCATGTGTTGAGAAGTGCTTTGGATGTCTAAATGGCACGGATTCAACAACGTCAGAAGAAAAGACTTGCGTACAAATGATCTGTATTTAGACATATGTACAGTTTCACCCTTAGGGATATTTAGTCCTCTTGAAATTTCAGTTCTTATTAGGATGCTGACAGGGTTATTCTGAAGCAACATGTAACTTGGCTGAATCCTCCACATAAATTCTAACTCTTTTTTTTAAATTGTTACAATTCATCTTTAGTTCTGTTCCTGTGCAGGAGCATCTTTTCTGAAAAAGGGGTGTATCTAAAGGGTGGGTTGAGGGAGGATGGAGCCAGCCTCTTTTCAGTGGTTCCCAGTGACAGGACAAGGGGCAATGGGCTCAAGCTGGAACATAGGAATTTCCTTTCAAATATGAGGAAAAACTTCTTTAGGGTGCCAGAGCCCTGGAACAGGCTGCCCAGGGAGGTCGTGGAGTCCCCTTCTCTGGAGATCTTCAAGCCCCGCCTGGATGCAGCCCTGAGTGATGTGCTCTGGGCAACCCTGCTTTAGCAGGGGAGTTGGACTAGATGATCTCTAGAGGTCCCTTCCAACTCTGATGACTCCGTGATTCTGTGAAAGCAGCAGGGTGGTTTTATTCATTTTTATACTACTTTTATGCCTATTTTTTTGTACTGCATGCTAGTAAATCACCTTAAAATCCTTCTTTTTCTGGAGTAGAGAGATGATTGCAAGAAAGATTGCACTTGTATAAACAAGTTGGCATGTGACTAAAAGACTGTTAATTTATTTATAACTTTCAAAAATATATTCCAAGGTATGTATTGCTCCCCTCTCTTTCTGGAACACGTTGTTCCAGGGATCAACTTTGTGGAGTAGTTCCCAACTGGCAGTTGTCACAGGTAGTGTGACACTTGTGTGAGTTGCTGTTTCTTGGATGTCTTTTTAGTTTCTTATAAAGCTTACAAAAGTGTAAATAAGTTTAAATGAGTATTAATTCCCAATGTGAATGAGGTGTTGTCACTGGGTTTGAACACACCACACGTGTGCCCCTTTTGAAAGTGAAGGAGTCTAGAGTTGCTAGCTATGGTACACTGGACTTCCTCATTTCTCATGTAGATGGATACTGTAAAGTTTCCTCCAAGTGAAAACTACTGGTCAGCTTGGATGTTGAAGTCCTGCTGAGAGGTACTCAGATAACTTTGACCTTACAGAAACTTTCCAGTTTCCAGTTCTTCATCATTGAGAATTCCAGAAATTAATGGACTGTTTTCTAGGGAGATGTGCTATTGCGGATCCTATTTCATTGTCTAACTATCGTGGCTCTTCCTTTTATTTTCTTTAGTTTGCAGATTCAAAAAATATGCAGTTAAGGAACTTCCAAGGAACCCTTTTTGATAGCAAAAACTTGCCTACACGTTTTGCAACTGACACCTGTGTGACTATGCCACATGCTTGGAAATGACACTGATTTACTGTAGGAATAGTAACTAATAGCATCACTATTTTGAAATCACCTTTTCATCTCTGGACTGAGGTATATTTAGAGAAGCACATGGGATATTTGTCCACGCAGTCCCAGAGTTCAAGCAGGGATGAAGAGTTTTGTACTATTTTGAAGACTTGTGACTCCTAAAACTATGATTCTAGAAGTCTCTCCTATGAGACAGATTGGTTTTGTTAAACAATATGATATGAATTGTAAAAGTTTACAGTCCAGGAAGCAGCCAACAGGAAACAGCCAACAGGAATCTCACTTAGCACTTAAAACATGACTTGTTTATCAGAGGCCCACATTTTTTCACGATGAGTGAACTACTCGCGTCAGAGCTCACACCTTTTTCTCTGAAGAGAGAGGGTGCGTGTTCAGGCCTGTTCAGTGAGTGTTTGTTGGTTCCTGGAGACAACCTTGTCTGAGCTGGAGTTACTACCTGTAAAATAGCTGTCATGGTCTGTTACCAAAAGGTCTTTCATGTTCCCTCTTCCACTGCAGTGTATCTCTGAAAGTGAGCTAGTCACCACACCAAAGAAAAGTTGTAGACCTTAGTGGAGCTCCTAGGGAAGCATTGAAAACTTGGTTTCTTGCTATTCCTTGGTGCATTCTAGCAGATTGGCTGTATTCTGTTACCTTAGTTTACATAAAGATGCATTTAGGCTCTTGGCCAGGTGCATATACTAATGTGTTCTGATCATGTTGAAACTTCTAAACATATTGTCTGTTTTTTGTAACTTTTTCCACTGCAATGGCTGAGATAAAGTATGGGTTTTTAAAACTGAAGTAAGTGAGTAACGTGCCACAGGTGAGGTCCCCTGGGGATCGATACTGGCCCCAGCACTGTTTGGTGTCTTTACAGGTAATCTGGATGATGGGATCAGGTGTACCCTGATGAAGCTTGGTGATGACACCAAACTGAGTGGGGAAGTGGACACTTCAGAAGGGAGAGCCACCCTGCAGGAAGACCTAGATAGGCTGGAAGAATAAGCTAACAAGAACCTTATAAATTGAACGTGGACAAGTGTAAGGTCTTACACCTGGGAAAACATAATTCAGGAGTGCAGAAGAGGCTGGGATCTACCCAGCTGGGGAGCAGATCTGTGGAGAGGGACCTGGGGGTTCTGGTGGCCAACAAGCTCAATATGAGCAAACAGTGTGCTGCTGTGGCTGAGATGGAGACGGGATGCTGGGTTGTGTCAACAAGGGCATCACCAGCAGAGATAAAATAGTCACTGTGTTCTGTTTTTTGGTCCCTGCTATACAAAAAAGATGTGAACAGGCTGGAGAGGGTCTAGAGAAGGGCCACCAAGATGTTCAAAGGAATGGGGAGCCTGCCATGTGAGGAAAGGCTGAGAGAACTGGGTTTGTTCAGCCTTGAGAAAAGAAGGCCTAGGGGAGACCTTGTCACAGTGTTCCAGTGTATAAAGGGTGGCTACAAAGAAGATGGGGACTCCCTTTTTACAAGGAGTTACATGGAAAAGACAAGGGATAATGGGTACAAGTTCCTCCAGGGGAGATTCTGATTGAACACAAGAGGGCAATTTTTTCACAATGAGAATGGTCAGCCATTGGAACAATGTCCCCAGGGAAGTGGTGGATTCCCCATCATTGGGCACTTTTAAGATCCAGCTGGACAGGGTGCTGGGCCATCTTGCCGAGACCGTGCTTTTGCCAGGAAAGGTTGGACCAGGTGATCCTCGAGGTCCCTTTCAGCCTGGTATTCTGTGATTATTCTTCCTGCATAAAGGGTTTTTTTCACCATTAATATCGTAATTTTTTAATTGTGTTCCGTTTTATCTTTGAATTTACTAAAGCTTCTGTTATTACTAAATTTTAAACATTTTTTCTAACAACTGTCAGGTGCTAGATAGCACTTTTGAAAAGCATGAGCATGGGGAGCTTAAGGTCTACGATTATGGATATTTATTTTTCAGGCCTGTGTTCTTCTGAGCAAGTGCTGAGATTTTTACAGAAGACTTTTCTGTGAGAACTATCTAATTTATGTAGGCTCTCTGAAGTTTTTCACTAGTGCATATGAAGATGACTCTTGCATCCTGTAGCTGTTTGACAAGCATTATTTATCAAGTACAGAGGAAATTGATTAACTGTGGAGCAGAATTGTGTAAAATTGAATTCGGAACCATTTTCTGTTTTTTCATAATAAAATGATTACTGAAAGAATTCCATCTGAAGACTGTTGAAAGCTGGCTGCAGTTTATGATATAACGGATAAAATCTGCATCCTTGGCCTTCCAACAACCTTTACACCAGCAGATGGTGGGCGTAAAGATGTCATTCATCATTTATTTACAATGGGCTTTATTTATTCTAGTGTCAACAGCTGCCCCAGGGAGTGGGTTATTGAATTCAAATGTGAAGCTCTGGGTTATTTGCTTCCTTTCAAATTTGTCTTCAGAGCTTAGTTGCTAGGAGTCCATTCTGTGCTCTAATAATGATTCATGTATTGTGAAGCCATTCAGTAAATTGGGTTGTCAGGGATTGCCAAAAAAGGTTTAGAGGTCTTGTTCCAATTTATTTATTTTTTTTTTTTTGAAACAGCACTGTGCTGTAGTTGGTGTCTTCTCCTTATGTGCCTTCTCGTGCTGGTGTTAGAGACTTTGTCCCCACTTGTGCCCTCTCTGATTTCCCCTCCATACTCATTCTCGTCCCTGTCCTCTTAAAAGTAGAATTCTATAATTCTGTGATTCTAAGTTTGTGATTTGCAGCACCAAAAAATAAATTTGAGCTATGAAGTAATGAAACTTTCTCTTCTCCAGGCAGGGCAGGAGTCCTTCCGTTCCATTACACGGTCGTACTACAGAGGGGCAGCAGGGGCTTTACTAGTGTATGACATTACAAGGTGAGAATACCAAGGAGGTATAACTGCATTAAAATTATTTCTTTGTAGAATTGTGTTGTAGTTTATGGCGGTGTTAAAATGTCTAATTTAGTTCGGCTTTTTACAGATATATTTGTAATCTAATGTTTTTCTAACTTTCCTTAAGTGCCCCCAGTTTTCTCCATCCAGTGGTTGAGGAAAAGTATACATAAAGTCTCAAGAAGAATGAAATAAAATATTTTAATAAACTATTTGACCTTGAACCTCTGGATGGCCTTTATTGAGAAAGGCCTTAAAATATTTCATTAATTCCTTTCTAGTGTTTTTATTACCGTGAGCTATAATTTTTCTTTAACGATAGCAGATTTTTTTACTGAAGTGCCATCCTGCAAAGGAGGGAAATGGTAAAACATCAAAGTTTGGTTACATAAAAATACCAGGCAGCTTCTACCATTGCTGTGTTTATGAGGTTGGGAAAATACAGGTTTTAGTGTGATTTTTTTCGTAGCAGCTGTTCAGAAGGTTTTCCTGCTGTATTGAATCAAGTCTCTGTACAACTTATCTGCAAAACTGGGGGTACTGTGGCTGGTTTAGGAAAACATTCAGGCTCCAAGATCCTCTCAGGGATCCCTTTTGTGGATCTTGGGTCTCGTTGCTGAAATAAGGAACAACTTTTACTACAGATTTTCTAGATGTTTTTTCCTTATATTCCCCATTTATTTTTTTTAATATCTGGAAGCAACTTTTCCTTCCATTGAATTTCCAGCAGATGAATCTTGGATTCATAAATGTATGATTTTAGTGAAATCTTAAACAAGATTTATAGGCATGTGATTTAATATTTACATATTCTGTAAAATCTGTAACATGCCATACTTGTGTATCTTACTTTAAAAGGCTGCTCCTAAATTTGTTACTCAGTTTATAAACTCACAGAAAATCATAAACCATTTTCTGCCTTCAGTAGAACAAATGTTTCAATATGAGTATGTGATATTTTTTTTTTGTATTGTTGTTTGAATTGGTTGTGGCTCTTAGGGAGCTTTAAAATTCCATTCAGCGGGTTTTTATACGTATATAAAATTACGTATTATTACAGCTATAAGAATGCTCTTTGCTCTCTGTAGCAAATATGTTTTCAATTACTTTCTAGGCAGAGTTCATTAATGCTTCTTGTTTACTAAATTTTTGTTCGCCTGTTCTCCCTCTCACAAAGGGATTACTAGCTTTTTATCCCTGGAGCATGTGTACTAATAAATGAGTTGGTTACTCGAGTAGAGAAGCTGACCTAAGAGAAGGAGATTTCTTGAAATAAGGCTTTTAATTTTCATTTTCTTCCATACTTAGGAGGGACACTTTCAACCACTTGACAACTTGGTTAGAAGACGCTCGTCAGCATTCCAATTCCAACATGGTTATAATGCTTATTGGAAATAAAAGGTAAAATTTAACCAGTTACAGTTTCGTAAGTGGTAAAGATTGAAGTTTTCTCTGGATTTCAGCTTTTGGATTTTCTTATTTGTAGGCAGTCTGTTAGCTTTAAATTACTTTCAGTCTGGATGTAGTTCTATGGTAAACCTAAAACCTTTCCATTTCTAGTTAGATAATACAGAGGACCAACTACCCTGTATTTTGAGTACCTTTTTCAAAAGTAATTTTATTTTGAAAGAACTGACTGTAAATGCAGGAAATCATGGATTGTATGAATTATTTTTCTCATTACTTTTCTTTTTACAACTGGAATCACCAATTAGAAGCACCCAGGTCTCTCCCTTTTAAAGAGAATACGACCCAAAATTTTAGGTGTTCTAAAGTGCTTTAGTTTTTGGTTAAGAATCACAGAAGAGAAAATGTAAAATGTAAACTTAAACGTAAAAAGTGCACACCTCACTGATTATATGAGACGTTTCTGAATTCTAAGGCTGTTTCATATTCTGTATGTTTTTGCTGGGGCAGAGAAAGCTTTTCCACCATTTTCTGGTGAATTCAGGCTGCTCTTAGATACTGGGTGATGAAAATACAACTAAAAGTTTTGGACGTGCGTTACCCAATTTGTAAATGATTATTGACTCAGTTCTTCTCACCAGTGAGACTGTCCAGGGTCCTAAAATGGTTCCCTGTTGATGCTGAGACTTTGATCTGTATTAAAGGTCTTTATAAAAACATATCAGTAAATACATTAAGTTTATCTGTAATTTTTTTTAGTTTTTTAGCCAGTGAACTGTAGCATTGTGGGTAGATTTCTTTTTTTTTTCTGGATGTAGGGTTTTTCCAAATATCAAAAGCATCATCTTGGAATTTAATACGCCATTAGTTAAGGCCCTTTAACTAATTGACCCTAACTTGTCTCCATGCCTCAGCAATTCTTGAAGCTAAAGCTGCCAGTTGAAATCATGGTGTGTGTGCTTGTCCCTTAAAATTTAATGAACGTCCAGATCATTTCTTAGATACTACTGAGAAACAGCCTTGTGGTAAAGAGGGTCTGGTTTTGCTACTCTGGCCTGTTCACCTCTTATTTTCTTCTTCTTCCTCCTTGTTCTCCCTTCTATTTTCCTCCTCCTGCCCCTGACACTCTACTTCCCTCCAAAAAACATGTTTAGCATTAAGTAATTGTGAAGTTTGTCCACATCTTTATACGTAGTCTGCAAAACGACTAACGATGTTCTTTTTGAGGAATGTGATAAGTGTAGTCTTCACAAATTAATATAAAAATGCAATCTCTTTTATGAAATGAAGCTTTTGTAAGTCCACGGTGTCCCTCACCTACTGTTTTTATGCTGATGTGAGTAAAAATATGGCACTGAGAGAAACAGTAAAGTGTACTGCTTACTTGAGATAAGTATTCCATAAGTTTGCATACTTAGTTGACATCTGCAACTATTCCTGATAATTCTTAGCTGTTAAATTAAATTTTGGTCTTGCATTCTGCTGGTGCAAACGATACCATGTGTCTCTGTTGTAATATGCTACTTGCAGCTACCTCAGTAATTATGCAAACAATACCACATGACTGTTATAATATGCTACTTGCAGCTACCTCAGTAATTCCCAGCTACAACTAGGTTTTATTCAAACAATAAATATACTTAAATCACGTATTTTAAGTTACAGATTCAAGTGCCCCATGAAGTAAAAATTCTTTACGAAGCTTTTTAAAGGGAATTCTTTTCGAGCCTCAAAGAGGTGGATGGGAAGAAAACTCCCTCAGTTACACTGCGCTCTCCTGAAAGCGCGTTACAGGAGTTGTTGTGGTAGGGCACACTCCTAGGGATGGGTGGAAGGAAGAACGTGTAAACCAGCATAACAGTTTTTGAAAGAATAAATTTTGGTCTTATGAGTCCCCAAAGTGTACTCTGTATACATTTGTAGTACTGACTTACTGCTGGATTTGAAGAGTGTTGAGAATTTAATCTGAAATATAATAGCTGTTTTTTGAAAACATTACAAATACCATGTGTCAAAACATGACAAATACTGTACTTAATCTTCTTTCCAGAACAAAACATAGCTATATTGATCTAGTAAGACCAAATGCTTCAGCTTATTGGAGTGGAGAGAGGAAGACAACTGTGGTTAGTAGAAGCAGTTAAAACTCTTTAAGAATATGTTTAGATATCAGTAGTGAGTTTTGACTGGGTTATCGCTGCAGTTTTTGATGCACCTGTGCTATTTCTGTTCTATCATGGAGATAACACTGTAGTGAATCAAGGTTTTAAACAAGATAATTTTGAGGATAGCATGGTAATAGCAAACAAAGATATTGCTCAAGTTCAAAACTACAATCTGAGAGATTCTCACGTCCCTGAAGTAGCTGAATACCTTGTTAAGATATTTTAAGCCTGAGGCCGAGAACTGGGAACGCTTACATATAATGAACATCAACTTTAAAATTGTTTTCAGAAGACATTTCTTGTATTCTTATCTTCAAATGCTCCCATGTTTAAATGATGTGCTGAACTGTAGTTGTAAAAATATAAAAAAACCTGCTTTGCTGCAAAGTAGATGCCACAGTGAGTATCATTTATATTTAATATATGTATAATTACAAGGCTGGCAGCACGGAAGCCCAGTATGATATTTTTTTACTGGTATTCTGAGTGCAAACTAAACATCTGTATTTGCATGCTGTTTAGTTTAAAAATGTGTAGCTGAGAAAATAATTTTACATGCACAACTTAAATGAAACTTTATTTAAATATATATGTTATATTTATTATTTATAAATGTAGCATTGTTGCTCAAGAGGTAATATACTTACAAAGGACAAACTATGTACTCCTTATTCCTAAAGAAGGTTTAAAAAGTAAGAGTGTTAATACTTACATGTCTTATGATTTACTGAAGCAGATTTGGTTTTAGTTGTTCAGTCCAAGAGGGTGGTTTTTTGTTCTTTTGTGTAATGTTTAACTTTCATCTAAATTGCTTGGAAAGCAGGAAACAAGAAATTGTGTAGCAGTCACTTCAAATTTTTCTGCTGTTGGAGGGCCAGGTCTGGAGTTTCAAAACCTAAATGCAAGCTTATTGGGAGAGAGCAGCTACTGTAGTTCAAAATGATTTATTTTTACTTTTAAGTCTTTTTATCAGAACAGAAAGTGACTGTGTGAGGTTTAGTTACTGGATAGGAAAAATGAAATTTGTTTTTAAAATTATTTTTAAAATCATTAAGAATTAATTTATAGAAGTCCCTTATCCATTCAGCTTTACAGTGTGGATTGGTAGATAACATTATACTAGAAAAGAGTGATATTTACCTAAAATGACAACATCTAAAGCTAGCTTTCACTGAATAGCTAGATAAATATACACACACCCTGTTGAAAGCCATTTTTGATAAGATCTGTGTCAGCCAGGACTGGTAGCCCAGGCAGGCGTGGTGTCTGTGGCCACTCCGTGTGCTGTGAGGGCAAGGCTTACAATAATTCTGCTCTGGGTAAGGGCTGGAATAGATACTCATATGTACATAAGTTCTAGTGAGGGCTCTTGGCTTCTAAGTATGTCTCTGAAGAATAATATTTACGTGGACAGGTTAGACCTTGCAATAACTTGTTTTTTTTTCCACCTTAGTGATTTAGAATCTAGACGAGAAGTCAAGAAAGAAGAAGGTGAAGCGTTTGCACGAGAGCATGGACTTATCTTTATGGAGACCTCTGCCAAAACTGCTTCCAACGTAGAGGAGGTAACTTTGCTCAACACTGCTATTGTAGTAAAACAGTTGTTTTGAATTTGTTGTCTGTACAGATGACATTCCTCTAGGTTTTTTCTTAACTTGAATTCACTACTCTTTAATTTATATTGAGAGAAAGACAATGTCTACATTTTACCTGATTGCATAAAACTAATTACATTGTTGAGACTCTGGTAACTAACATATGTTTTGTGGGTTGTTTTTTTTAATATTTGATCAGAGAAATGGGTACTTCTGTCTGCCCTGAAATCTAAAAAGTAAGACTAGACTAGATTTGCTAGTCCAAAGCGAGCCAAGCTATTGATGTCCCTGGCAGATGTCACTCTAACCTGTTCTAAAGTCCTCTAATATTTCACAAGCTCTTCAGAGCAATTCATCACAGTGCTTTAGTGTTTGAATTGTTGTCATCTTTCCCCTTGGCTACCTAGCAGGAATTTTCTTTGCTACAATAAGTTTTTCAGCCTTCTCTGTTTTAAAGAACTTAAGTCTTTCGAAGTTTAGCTTATCGTTTATATTTCTGAAAGTATGAGTTCTTACATGTCTCACCTTGATTTACTGAGTGCCTTTTTTGAGGGGTGGTTGTGGTGGGTTGACCTCAGCCAGCAACTAAGTACTAATTCAGTTGCTCCTCACACTCCTTGGGATGGGGGAAAGAACCAGAAGAGCCAAAGCAATTAAAACTCGGGGGTTGAGATAAAGAATTCAATAAATGAGGGAAAGAGGTGGTGGGGAAAGAGTGATGGAAAGGCAGGCACTCACAGCTTCCCCCAAACGGATTGACTCCTAGCCAGTCTCTGAGCAACAGCTATTTTGAAAAGAGTACCCTTTGGTTTTTATTGTTGAGCATGATGTTGTACAATATGAAGTACCCTTTAAGGCAGTTGTGGTCAGCTGTCCTGGCTGTGTCCCCACACCCCCGCCAGATTTTGCCTACCCTGAGCCTAATCGCTGCAGGGAGGGGCAGAAACAGAAAACCTTGACGCTGTGCAAGCACTGCTCAGCAGCAGCTCAAACATTGGCTTGTTATCAACACAGTTACAGACATAAATCCAAAACACAGCACCGTACAGGCTGCTGTAAAGAAAACTAACTCCCTTCCAGGCAGACACAGTGCAGGGGTGGACAAAGAGCTCCAGCCGAGATGTTAGTGCTGTGTACAGCACAAAGATTGCTTCACAGGTCTTTCAAGCCAATACTCTGGTCGTACATCCCCACTCACTAACCTTTTTCATAATAGCATGACACAGTTCAGCTTCTCAAACTACATAATCTGCCCTTACTCGCTTCCAAAATTGTCCTAAATGCTAAATGGTGGACAACTGCTGGTATTCTTTTGGTGGTAAAGCCTTCTAGTCTTGAAATACTTAGTGGTTTTTGAGAAGTTATAATAAAAGTAACAAACAGCTTTCACTGACGAAAAATGCCAAATGGTGGACAACTGCTGGTATTCTTTTGGTGGTAAAGCCTTCTAGTCTTGAAATACTTAGTGGTTTTTGAGAAGTTATAATAAAAGTAACAAACAGCTTTCACTGACTTCATTCCAGTTTGTTATGACCTGATTCTAACGTTAGCACCTCTCTCCATGTCAAAAAAATACGTGCTGGTGAATGAGTTGTCCAGTACCTGGATAATCACTGATTATCAGGAGGAAAATGAGCATAGAGTTCTATCAAAAAAGTTCAAAACAGTCCTCTCCTTCTGATGATATGAGTGAGTGTGTACTAACTTTCAAATTCTGATGGAAAAGGACATAATCCTTTTTAGTGTTGTCAAAAAAGTTCAAATCGAGTGCTCTCCTTCTGATGATATGAGTGAGTGATTGTGTGTGTGTACTAACTTTCAAATCCTGATGGAAAAGGACATAATCCTTTTTAGTGACAATCAAACGCGTTCCCGAAGTGCTGTTCTCGGTCACCACTAAAAGAAGTGACAGGATCCAGAATAGTTACAGCTGAAGGAGCAAAATCTTACTCTTTGAGCCAGTAAAAAGAAGTGAGGAGAAGTAGTAGACATGGTAGGTGAAAGATACCACTTTGTGGACAAAAGAAGAGACCGTTTTCAGTTTAATGCTGATTTTGGACTGTTAAATATCAAAAAAAAAATAGAAGGTAATGAGGAAATAAATCCCATGGAATGGGTAACGTTTGAGGGAAGAGCAAGTATGTGAAACAGAGGCAAATCTACCAAACCTTCAGTATGTGACTTCAGGACTGGAAAGAAATTACAGGTTTTTTGACAGCCTGAGGATGTAGAAGCTAAACAGGAAGAACAGTATTCAGGGTAATTCAGCTAAAATTAGATTAATTTTTAAGCAGAAGAAATTTGTGGCCCTGTGTCTCCAAATGTTGTCTTATGCCGTGGCAATGGGGAACATGTTTACTGGCTGCTTTGGGAAACTAAGGGCTAAGAAAGGAATATGTTGAATTTTTGAATTTATGGAAATACACTGGACCTAAAGAGCTGAACATTGTGAGTCTCTGAATTTGCATCTGGATTAAAATGTCAGATATTTTCAAATGCATTTGTGTTAAGTATTGAAGCAGACACTTCTACTTGCTTAGGTTTCAGATAAATTGTCAAGATACTTTTTATGCTTTTAATTTGAGTCTTGAAATACCTTTTGCGAAAGTACTGGACTTTTTAGATAGAACTAGTGGGGTCACAAGGACTCTCTTTAATTGTATGGAGGTTATTGGGGAATGAGGGGGGGGGAAAAAGCTCTGGAGCTTGGAGGGGAAGGAATATCCCCATAATTACTGAACAGCATTTCTAATCCATGCTGGTAAATCACTGGTGACTCTAGTGTATCACGCATGGGGTATGTAGTTAACCAGTACAGTGTCAGGAGACCTGTAGAAATGGTCAAAATCAAACACATCCATATAAGAGAGGACATCAGCTGTGTTGAAAGAGCAGGTGATTTTACTTGAGAGAAGGACATAGCCCCAGAGCAAAATGAGTTACCAGCAGAGTTACGCAAACAAAAGTTTACATGAATACAGCTTCAGAAATATTTAGGAAATATGTGCACCTATTTGGCCTCCATTCTTTACTCTGTATTTAACAAAGTCTCATAGAGTGATAAAGCTGACATTTAAGATTGATTTTTTTACTTCGCTTACCAGCCTTCATCCATCAGTAGGAAACACTACTCAAAAAGGGTGCTTTGGAGAAGACACTGTTCCTGTAAGACACATGCATTTGTATGTATGGAAATGCAGATATAACAGGCTAGAACATTCCCAGATAACGAGTGATGTCTTGTTCCCTCTTTCCCTTCCCAACAGAGGGATTTCACCACACTGACATCATGGAGTTGACCAACAGAGCCTCGGCCTGCTGCATTTTTGCCTGTGTAGTGTTGCTTAGTGGTTGCTACACAAAACAAAGTAGCAATAGAAGTGTATTTCTGGGTATTGAAGGAAGTAACAGGTGGGATTTCCAGGAAAAGTGACAATGAAGAAGCTATACAGTATCCAGTAATAGGGCTTAAGCTCTCCTTCCACCCCTTTAAGGGAAATAGATCCAACTTCGGGGTATCTGTCCAAAGTAGAATGAGGAAGAATTTCCTAAGAATATCAGGTGTCTGTATTGGGACCAGTACTGTTTAGTATCTTCATCAGTGACGTAGACAGTGGGATCAAATGCACCCTCAGCAAGTTTGCAGGTGACACCAAGCTGAGCGGTGTGGTTGACACACCTGAGGGAAGGGATGCCATCCCAATGGACCTGGTCAGGCTTGAGAAGTAGGTCCATGTGAACCTCATGAGGTTCTACAAGGCTAAGTGCAAGTTCCTGCATGTGGATCAGGGCAACCCCTGGTATTGATCCAGGCTGGAGGATGAAGGGATTGAGAGCAGCCCTGCCAAGAAGGACTTGGGGGTGGTGGTGGACGAGAAGCTCAACTTGAGCTGGCAATGTATGCTCACGGTACAGAAAGCCAACCACATCCTGAGCTGCATCAAAAGAAGCCTGGCCAGCAGGTTGAGGGAACTGATGCTCCTCCCTCTACTCCACTCTGGTGAGAACCCACCTGGAGTGCTAGTCCACCTGTGGAGTCCTCAACACAGGAAGGAAGGAAATGAACCTGTTGGAGCAGCTCCAGAGGAGGGCCATAAAGATGGTCAAAGGGCTGGAGCACCTCTCCTGTGAAGACAGGTTGAGAGAGCTGGGAATGTTCAGCCTGGAGAGGAGAAGGCTTCAGGGAGACGTTTTTGCAACTATTTGGTACTTAAAGGGGGCCTACAGGAAAGATGGGGACAAACTTTCTAATAGGGCCTGTCATGATAGGACAAGGGGTGATGGCTTTAAACTAAATGAGGGGAGATTTAGGCTAGATAGAAGGAAGACACTTTTTTCGATGGTGGTGGTGAAACACTGGCACAGGTTGCTCATGGTGGTGGTAGATGCTCCATCCCTGGAAAGATTCAGGGTCAGGTTGGACGGGGCTCTGAACAGCATGATGTTGTTAACAGTGTCCCTGCTCATTGCAGGGGAGGTTGGACTAGATGACCTCTAAAGGTCCCGTTCAACCCAAACCATCTATGATCTATTTATCCTGGCCACACGTGTTAAGCTGTTTCCCTTGCTTAAACCTGATTTCCACACTGTGTAATGCCTTAGCTGATCTGCAGTGTAGCAGTGCATTGCCCTCTTCAGTGCTTTGTCTTAAAGACAGTTTAAAAATGTTTATTGTGCTCTTCTGGATGAGGTCTCATAACCAACATCTTGGGTAGAAATGTTTAGGAGCAGAGAATACCCTGTGAGCTGTTAATCTTGTGCAAGGGGATGTTCATACCCCATTGGCACAATAGAAAGTTGATAGTTGAGAGTGGGGAGTAGATGTAGGCTCTTCCTTCGTAGTTTCTGTGGAGGCTTCTAAGAATTCAATGTGGTCACAGACTTAAATTGTTGTGTTTGATGTGGAATGGGATTGGGGGAGAAGAGTTTCTGAATCATTGGGAGGACAGAAGGATTATTGGGGAGGGGGGGTAAGCACAGGAGATAGAATTTGACTGCAGTTCAAGGCCAGTTATACTGGTCTCTTCAGC